ACAATTCAGACTATCGGCCGATACGTTCCGATACCAGCGCAGTTTAAAAAAAAAATCAAGTAGAATTTCTATAACTCTGTGTGTTGAACTGATAATCACTCGTTTGTGTTTTAAACGCAATATACTTAATACAGACAACTTCATTATAATGAAAAACAACAAATAAAAAAAAATGATCATAACCTATGACAAAAATTCTGTTATAAACTAGATTAGTGGATAACCATGTCGTGTGGAATGGGTTAAAATCTTTTTTCTTTTCTTTTTTCAGCCATCCAGTGAAATTGAGGACGTTGTGACGTGGGCATTCTAGTTGTAACTGAGGAGCAGCAATGTGATGTGCTTTCCAAAGACACAATTGATGTCGCTCTCATTTTGGAGGAACATCTTGTCGTCACTGACATCTCCGATGTCCCCGAGGCATTTGGACTCCTGATGGGTCTTCTTTATGTTGTCAATATCGACTACCCCAAGACAATGACATACACCTTTGAAGCTCTGCAAAAACTTGTTATGAACATTGGTGGGAGCAGCTGTTCATCACGTGTTCATGGGCTTCGCAACAAGCTCTTGCGCAAAAAGTAGACGTTTGAAGGAGCTTTAGGCTTTTTTGTGCCTTTTGCTACTTTTTAGAGTGCACGTTTAAAGTCTTCATGTTCTGACTTCGACTATGCATGTTCACACATCTCATGAACACAAATGTAAAAGGGATAGTTCACCCCAAAATGTAAATTCTGTCAGGATACTCACCTTAATGTTGTTCCAACCCCGTAAGACCTTCGTTCATCTTCGGAACACAACGTAAGATATTTGTGATTAAATCTGAGAGCTGGATCACTCCTCCATAGGCTTCTATGGGATTGAAACTTGCTGGCCCAGAAACGTTATTAAAGACATTGTTAAAATAGTCCAAGTGGCTACAGAAGCCTATGGAGGAGTGATCAGGAGTAAGTACAGTACACTCATTTTACTTCAACAAAAGATATATTGTCAAGTTGACAAAAAAATGTAAGGCAGCGGGGTAACAACGTTTTTTAAGTTGACTCAACAAATTGTTTTTTACAGTGTAGAGATGGAACGATAAATGTAAAAACATTTTTTGTTTTTATCCAGAAAAACCGCAGCTTTCTACAATGAACGGGATTATAATCGGTTTCCCTCAATACCTCATCATACTCAACGATTCCCCTTCCGTCAGGACAAAGCGCTTAACGTAGCTTAATGGACTACAGTGACATAGAAGACCAAACTCGCACCTTATTGGGGAAGTATGTATTGTACATGTACTGCATTAGATTAAACTGGGAAGGGTCATAGCACTTTCATATTGTTGTTCTATATTGTTAGTTTAACTGTAAGTCGCTTTGGATAAAAGTATCTGCTAAATGACTAAATGTAAAATTGGGTTGACATTCGCACATTTAGGGACCGTCTCTAAAGTAACATTGGTAGTCCTATAGGCCTAAACGTTTCTAACTTCAATAGCAAACTTCAATCTATTTGAATAAATTGCGCATTATGCCTGACACCTACATGAACACTTTACAGTTGGTTTTATGACTGTAAGTCGTTCTCTTCAAATGCTATTGAAGTTAGAAACGTGTATACCAATGTCGTATGTACTTTAGAGACGCTCCCTAAATGTGCGAATGTCAAGCCAACATTATGCCAGTAACTGGTAAACGCTCAGCATTAAACTTTGCACGTTAAATTCATATTCTGAGTCCTTCTGCTAGCCTGCGAGTTTGGTCTTTTATATCACTGCATTAGTCCATTTAAGCGTTTTATATGTCCAGCAGGGGAATCCTGACGTATTGAGGGAAACCCTAGTAATGCATGCAGCACATCGCTGCAACTAAACAACCAATAGAAATATATGTCAAACTCAAATGTAACATTGGATCTGTACATCCGCATCGGAGGAATAACATTATAATCTCGTTCACGGTAGAGAAAGATGCATGTAGGCTACACAGGAAAAGTAATCGTGAAGACACTGAATTTCACATAAAACAGACGTCATAATAATCACAAATACACTTACATTGTTGTAAATGAGTTTTTATGAATGAATGACTTGCTCTAACTGTTGCTCTGGTCTTCGTCAACAACACGCGCTTGCACCCCCTGCTGGTGAGGAAGACTAACAGCAGATGGAGAGAATGCTCGGTAATCGACTGCTTTTCCTGCAGCTCCTGGATGTCAAATTCTTCGGTAAACCCAGAGTTTTTCTTTTAGTTAATGCATCTTGATTTAATAATCTTTAGATATTTTGACCGTTAGCTAACACAACCCTGCGGGGCCCCTATATTGGTAGTTTTCATCTCAGAATAGAAATTATTAACTCTGACTTGTTGTGTACGATTAGTTAAAAAGGAATAAAACCACTTAATGCAGAATGGGTTCACTTCTAGCTCTATCAACTTCTTCATCAGTATATTGGGTTGAAGTGTATTCAATGCTGAACTAAAATCTATAAAAAGTAAACGAGCATATGCCTGGGAATCTTCTAAATGATTATTCCGTGTCGCCAGCAGAGCAGCGCCACCGGAAGCTGACGATCTGCCTGTTTACATACATGCCGTAACCACCACCAGAGCTGTTTATTCACAATTGATTTGATCATCTTTATTTCCTATAAATACAAAAGCAAGTTATTTTTTTTTCCTGTTCGATTTTAATAATCGTCCAATATTGTGTATCTCCTCTTGATCTATCAGCGGTGGCGCAGGTCCAGCCTATGCCTTCTTGCTGTTGGCCCAGTAGAAGTCAAATGTTAATTTCATTAGCCTAATTAAAAAAATTTAACAGGTTGGATTAGAGAACATGTAATTATATAAAAAGAGCATTATACCATGTGCTCCAGCAGAGAAGTGGCCATGCGGCAGCAAGGCGCCTGGATGAAGTGGAACCCCCAGAGAATCAAGATCTTGATTCAGGGGGTCTATGACGTCCTCCCAAGTCCATCCAACCTGTGCACATGGGGCAAAATAGAAACACCTGCATGCCCTCTTTGTTCCAAAATAGGAACATTAGAACACATCCCTAGCAGCTGCTCCAAGGTGCTGGGTGAGGGCCGGTATCAATGGAGGCACGAGCAGGTCCTCAAATCCATCGCTGAGGCAATCAGCAAGTTCAAGTTAGATTTGTCTATAGAGTGATGTGTGGCTAACTTACTGTTGTAAACTTTTTCTTCAGAGACCAGGAGTGTCATGATTCTGCCATCTAGTCCTTGTCTTTCTTTGAGTCTTGGGGCAGGATCATGACAGACTCATGTTTTGTGTACAAGCACATGGCCTTTTGCTTGGGCCATGTGCTTGTGTTGTCTCATCCGTCACCCCGCCCCCCGTTATCCTCGTCTTGTCATTATTGTCTAGTCAGCTTCACCTGTTCTTGTCATTAGTGTTCCCCCATTTAATCCCCTTGTGTTTGCTGTCCTGTGCCGGTTCATTGTTTCATACCTTTGTAATCACCCTCGTGAGTATCCTGTTAAGAGTTTTGTCAAAGAGCTGTTTAGTCTTGTATCTGCTGTGAGTTTATAGTCTAGTTAACTGTTCAGTCTTAGTCTAGTGTTGTTAGTCTTTATTTTTCCCTACCAGTGTTGTTTGCCCCCTCGTGGGTTTTGTTTTACCTGTTTTCTGTCTTTAATAAACTTTGTGTATTGCATACTGTCTGCGATTGGGTTCGTTCCCTGAAATTCCTGACAAGGAGACGTTGGGATATCTTTCAAGCAGAAGTTACTCTTTATTGAGAACACAAGCTGTTGGTGGCTGCAGTCATCAAGTCTGACTTGGGCAGTGTACATTGTAGAGTTAATACCTTTCAACTGGGGAGGGATTACATGGAGATGGAGACACTCTGAACAAAGCATGTAAATGAAGTACAGGAGTCCTATCCCTGATCTCATCAGCATAACAGTGTCATTCAGATGCATACATGCTAATCCAATCAGCCTGACTATTCAAAGACTGGGCCAGGGGCTCCAAGAGCCATTACAGACAAAGGGTGAGAGTTTCAGTAATCTTACTCATTTAACTTACAATAGAGAGAACAGGGCTGGCGGGAATCTCTTGATATCATCATCATAACCTTAAATGCTAAATTCAATTTACTCTACCGTAGTTATTTTTCATGTTATGTTAGGACATGAGATCAGCAGATCTTAAACAGATTCTTAAATTTGTAATCCCACAGTTACACAGAAGATACTTTGTTGCTCAGCACATGAAAATAAACTACTTATTGTGATATCGGATTGTGTTTAAGTGGTTTCTCCACTGTATCAGGGTTTCTGCAGGGATCTTCAAATGAAATTGAATGCCTCTTTAATGACATTGTTTAAATTTGTAATGCCATACACGACCCATGACTAACCACGGATATTATTTATATATATATATTTCCTGGAACAACTCAGAAAAAGTACTCCATGTGACATCAGTGGGTTAGAATTTTTTGAAGCATCGAAAATAAATTTTGGTCCAAAAATAACAACAATTCTGGACTACATGGACTACTTTGATGATGTCTTTATTAGCTTTCTGGACAAGGACAGTATACCATACATACATTTTCAATGGAGGGACAGAAAGCTCTCATACTAAATCTAAAATATCTTAAACTGTGTTCCGAAGATGATCGGAGGTCGTACGGGCTTGGGACGACATGAGGGTGAGTCATTAATGACATCATTTTCATTTTTGGGTGAACTATCCCTTTAAGGTCAAAATGAGTACCCGCAACGCAAAATGCGTAAGGTTGGCAGGTCTGAGTGTTCAGACACCGAGCACCTCCGCCTGCAAAGTCACATTCGAGGCAAACGCTGATCGAATGTCGTCGGTTTTGCTACGGTAACATTAGCTGTAAATTGATATAAAATACTCTTCAAAACTTTCAAAATGTTTAATGCCTGTAGGGATCAAATTCAATGCATTTAAGGCCCTTTATTTTTGCAAAATCCATTTAAGGACTTTTAATGCTTTTTAATGCCCCGCGGAAACCCTGTGTTTTGGATCTTCATGTGTAGCTTCAGGTGAGTTTTTAAAGAGAAACTCGTCCCGCACTGATCACACGTGTGCGGCTTCTCTCCAGTGTGGATCATCTCATGTGTTTTCAGAGATGATGACTGACTGAATCTCTTGTCACAGTGTGAACACTTGTAAGGTTGTTCTCCAGTGTGGATCCTCTCATGTGTTCTCAGAGATGATGACTCACTGAATCTCTTGTCACAGTGTGAACACTTGTAAGGTTTTTCTCCAGTGTGGATCCTCTCATGTGTTTTCAGAGATGATGACCGACTGAATCTCTTGTCACAGTGTGAACACTTGTAAGGTTTTTCTCCAGTGTGGATCCTCTCATGTGTTTTCAGATCTCCCGACACACTGAATCTCTTGTCGCAGTGTGAACACTTGTAAGGTTTTTCTCCAGTGTGAATTCTCTGGTGCTGTTTTAAACCACTTGCTAAAGTAAAAGTCTTCTCACACTCAAAGCACATGTACTCTCTCACACCAGTGTGAGTTTTCTCATGTGTATGTAAATGTTGCCGCTGTGAAAAGCTCTTTCCACACACAGAACATGAATGTGGCTTCTCCTTCGTATGAACTCTCAGGTGTGTCTTCAGGTGTGATGCCCTACTAAATGTTTTGCCGCACTGATCACATGAGAACGGCTTCTCTCCAGTGTGAACTCTGATGTGTTGATTACGATTTGTTATTCGTGTGAAACTCTTCCCACACTGATCACATGAGAACGGCTTCTCTCCGGTGTGGATCCTCATGTGAATTTCAAGATGTTGTTTGGTTGTGAGACTCTTTCCACACTGAGTGCAGGTGAAAGATTTCTTGGCTCTTGTTTTCTTTAAAAATTTATTTTTAGTCTTTGAGCGACTCAAAGGTTTTTCTCCAGGTTTGACATGATGTTCCTCCACTTCACTCAGTTCTTCTCTCTCCTCCTTCACTTCACTCAGTTCTTCTCTCTCCTCCTTCACTTCACTCAGTTCTTCTCTCTCCTCCTTCACTTCACTCAGTTCTTCTCTCTCCTCCTTCACTTCACTCAGTTCTTCTCTCTCCTCCTTCACTTCACTCAGTTCTTCTCTCTCCTCCTTCACTTCACTCAGTTCTTCTCTCTCCTCCTTCACTTCACTCAGTTCTTCACTCTCCTCCTTCACTTCACTCAGTTCTTCTCTCTCCTCCTCCACTTCACTCAGTTCTTCTCTCTCCTCCTTCACTTCACTCAGTTCTTCTCTCTCCTCCTTCACTTCACTCAGTTCTTCTCTCTCCTCCTTCACTCCACTCAGTTCTTCACTCTCCTCGCTCTCTTCCATCAGGTCTGACATGAAAGAAAAAATATTACATTTAATTTTCAGAACATCAAAATAATTCAAAGAGAGAAATATAAAGTGAAAGGACATAAAAGATTTCAATTACACGAGAGTAGATGTTAAAACTTCATGCTGATTTGTACTCGGCTTTCGCCAAGATAAGCAAAACTAGCTTTACAGTAAACTATGCTACTCCATCCATTTACGCTTCTTTTCATACGGTGGTGTGACTCCCCTTCTGTCCGGCGTTAACGGCTGCAGTGTACTTGGCGCGTCAGCACACGCGACGGCTGCAACTACAGTGTGGTCTCCCTAGTGGACCAGCAGGACAACCGTCTGGATTGAGCCGAGTAGGGGACATCTCTAGGGTCTTCAAGTGGGCACCTTCCGTCCTCAGTGTTTCGTCGACTAGCCCACGACACCGCAAGAGGGCTCGACAGTGACTCTGGCGTCCCAGAGTCACCCCCCTCCGTCCCCCACTCAACTCAGCCCAGCTTACTGACCTCTACATCCCTCCTGCTGCTGAGACCTAACCACAATCTCACAATCTCTCCGCAACCCAACCATACGCGCCAACCCGTTTGACTAAGGCTGTCGAGCCCCACTGGTGCGTTAATGCAGTTTCAGTGGACAACGGTTCCGTATGGCATACCACCTACTGCAAAACACAATATCTGCGCAACCACCCGTCATTCATGCAATATACACAGGAATGCATACAAATAAACCAACAGACTCTTCAAGCTTTCAAGAATTCTACGAAACCGTAGCGTGGCGGCCTGTACACAGCCAGCTAGAATCTTTCCGTCTCAACCACAGCCAGTGCTGCTCCTTTCTGCTGCTTCAGATAAGTTCTTTACTGTGCGACGCAACTCTTGGCCACTGAATCCGACGTCTCTGAGGAACCGGGTTGTAGAGTGTGCCACAAATCCTCGACAACCCACTTCCACTGGATAAACCTGGACTCTCCATCCTCGCTGTTCTGCTTCAGTGGCCAGATGAGCATACCGCAGTTTCTTCCTCTCATATGCCTCATCTACCGCATCCTCCCATGGCACTGTTAACTCTATCAGTTGAACAATGCGTGCTGATCCAGACCACAAAACAATATCTGGTCGTAGGTTAGTGGTGGCAATCTCAGGTGGAAAAATAAGCCGTTGATCAAGATCAGCCAGCATCTTCCAGTCCCTAGCAGCTTCCAGTTGTCCTGGGCGAGAATTGGTGTTAACACCTTTTCTTGGTGGTTGCTCGCCTGGGCGGAGGAATATTGTCTTCTGCGTGCAATGTTTTGCTAGAACAGGTGGCAACTTATTGGTCATACTACGCTTGCCTTCCAATGCTAAAGCCAAACATCGCAGTACTTGGTCATGGCGCCAAGTAAACCGACCTTGGCTAAGAGCCACCTTACATCCTGTCAAAATGTGCCTTAATGTGGCAGGTGATGAACACAAAGGACAAGAGGGATCCTCTCCTACCCAGAGGTTTAGGTTCTGCGGTGATGGGAGAACATCATATGTTGACCTAATAAGGAAACTGATCCTACTCTCTTCCATTGACCAAAGGTCTTGCCAGCCCATCTTGCGTTGTTCCACACTCTCCCATCTCATCCACTCTCCCTGCTTGGCCTGGGAAATGGCCTTTATACACCTCATCCTCTCCTCCTGCTTTCGCACCTCGTTGACTACCAGCTTCCTCCTTTGAGCTGGGCCTGCCTTGTGCCATTTAGGAGGAGCTAAACAGAGCCCAAAACCCCCTCTTCCATGCTGTACCTGTCCCACGGTATCCCCAATTTGAAGGGCAGCCTTTGCCTCTACTACAGATTTCTTTGCGGACCACTTTCTACCAGTTTTTAACACAGGGGCTGCCTCCCTTACACATTTGTCGCGTGACTCTATTAAGGCAATTTCCAGTCTGACCTTGGCGCACTTAAACTCCTTGGTTAAAGCAGAGACTGGCAGCTGCAATATTCCTTTACTATAAAGTCCCACTCTGCTGAGGCAGCGTGGAACTCCCAACCATTTCCTGATGTATGAACTTATCAACGCTTCCAGCTTATCCACTGTTGCAAAGAAACCTTGTACACGGTCAGTGGCCACAGCAACCTCGGCAGTAGACCAAACTGAAAGCACCAGAGTTTTAGTTTGCCTGGTAGAGCGCAGCTGTTTATGCTCTTCAACCCTTCCACTGCTTGTCGTCTAACTTCTCCCACCTGAACTGTGTCCTTTAGATCCCCATCGTACCATCTCCCAAGACTCTTCACTGGCTTCTCAGAAACTGTTGGTATTGCCTCACCATTAATGAAGAATGTTTTATCTACTACCTTTCCTTTAACTATTGAGATGCTCCTTGATTTAGAGGGCTTAAATTGCATTCGTGCCCATTCAATATTATCTGTTAACTTCTCCAATAACCGATTAGTGCAGGCTACTGTTGTAGTCATGGTTGTCATGTCATCCATGTATGCTCTGATTGGTGGTAGTTGCATCCCAGAAGCCAAGCGCTCTCCTCCTACTACCCATCTTGATGCCCTCATGACTACTTCCATTGCCATGGTAAAAGCCAGTGGAGAAATGGTGCATCCTGCCATTATTCCAACCTCTAGGCATTGCCATGTAGTGCTGAATTCTGGAGTTGAGAAACTGAATTGCAAATCTCCAAAATAGGCTTTCACTAAATTTGTTATTGACATTGGTACTCTGAAAAAATCAAATGCTGCCCAAAGAAGCTCATGTGGCACTGAACCATATGCATTAGCCAAATCCAGGAATGTCACATGGAGCTCCTTCCTCTCCTTTTTAGCTGACTGAATTCGTTGCCAGATAACATTGATGTGTTCTAAGCATCCTGAGAATCCTGGAATGCCTGCTTTTTGAACTGAAGTGTCAATGAAGCCATTCTTTAATAGGTAGGTGGACAATCTCTGGGCAATAATGCTGAAGAAAATCTTACCTTCAACGTTTAATAGTGAAATAGGACGAAACTGACTGATGCTTGTAGCATCTTTTTCTTTAGGTATAAAGACTCCACATGCTCTGCGCCATGCTCTAGGTACAACCTGTTTTTACCATGCCACTTTTATCAATTTCCACAGAATTCGTAGAACTCCTGAAGCACTCTTGTACACTCTGTACGGAACTCCATTAGGCCCTGGAGATGATGAAGCCCTTGCCTTTCTCACAGCCTGCTCTACCTCTTTCCACTTAGGTGCACAGACCTCCATTTGGTATTCTGGTGGGTTGATAGGTGGGATGTCTGATGGAATTGACATAGGCTCATGCCTTTTTGCATCTGTATGCGTTTCCTCCAAATATCTCTCTAGCTCAACCCTAGATGCTTTTAAGATGCCATTCTTCTCACTGGTGAATAACTTCTTTACGAATTTGAATGGGTCTTTATAGAAATTAGCCCTCGCACAATTTAATAAATTGATTATATGTCCTTGAAACATTCCACGAATGAGGTCAGTTTATCTTCCTATTATTATTTTTAAAACATTATAGGCACAAATCCCATGAAGAATCTCTAGAAATATGAAAACCTTGTATGATATTTGACAAATACAACTTTATCAGTAACTTGGTGTTTACTGATTATTCTTATTTTTTGAATTGTAAACTATGTTGAAAATTCTGGTAACTTTGTTGCAAATTGGGAACCAGATATCAAATAAATGTAAAATAAAACAGTTAAAATAGTATTTAGCTTGATCTGATGTTGAACAAGAATAAACACCAACCTCTTTGTTCTTCAGGATCTTCAGTGTGTTTCATTCTGCAGGTTCTGGATCACTCGTGTTCTCACTGTCCTCTTTAATAAACTCAGTCTTGGCAGATTTCAGCTCTTCCTGATGCTTTCATGCTCGTCTTCACTTGTAGCGGATGGGAATTTACAGCATTTATTGGTGAATTACTGTGGGAGGAGCTTCACTGATAATGTGATTGCAGTGGGAGGAGCTTCACTGATGATGTGATTGCAGTGGGAGGAGCTTCACTGATGATGTGATTGCAGTGGGAGGAGCTTCACTGATGATGTGATTGCAGTGGGAGGAGCTTCACTGATGATGTATTCCAGGGTGGGAGGAGCTGATCTGCCAAAATCAAAAATATCAATTACTGAGTTTATTTTATAATAAATGACACTTCTAAAATTGTATGTCTGTCCATCTATTCATCGTACAGTAACTGATTATTTTTAATGATTTTGTTGTTGTTAATTATAACATTATTCTGCTGCTTCATTAAAATATAGGTATATATAAAATATGTCTAGAAATATAGAAAAGAATATAAATAATTTAAATTCTTCCAAATATAAATAATGGTAAGAAAAACGGTTAAAATCATAAACACAGAAATAAACATATACTAATCAACAAATCCCCTCAGTCTGCTGACACCAATGAAATGAGCTTTAAGTGTCAGTTTACAGGAGATGTGAAGACATCAGCATAATAAATGAGGTGAAAACAGGCACTATTGTCATGAAATAAAGAGTGTTTTCAGCAGATCTGTTAATATTGATGATCCTCAGACTATCAACACGCATTCAACAAGCCATTCAGGACCATCAGCATATCATCTCACTTTATTCTGAGTGATAAAAGCCAATAAAACTGCTCTATTGAAAGACAATACTGTTATTTCTCACACTATGACATGGATAAAACATCAATAATACAAAAACAATCACTAAATATAGCTGCAAGCAGCAACACGGGGCCAAGCCCTGGAAGGCACCGCAAGCAGAACAAGTACAGCAAGCTGCAAGTACAGCAAGCACAGCATCACATCAATTACAGCAGAACAGCAAGAACTGTAAGCCCAGCAGCACAGCAAGCATTTAAGCACCAACAGCAGGGCAGAGCCGGAAGAACAAAACAAGCAGAAATTGAACGTGCATGAAGAACAGATCAGGTTCAGAAGTACAGATAGGATGAAATCAAAATGAACAGAAGGTCTGATGAGAACGAACACAGAATGAAGTAATAAAAAAAAAACGCAGTAACAGTGCTTGCTCATTTAGTGATTCTGTGATCTTTGTAACGGCCTACGAACTCCTGTGAGAGTCTTG